CTCCAGTCTTCAGTGTCACGTGATCCTTCAGAAATCAGTCTAATACGCTGATTTGCTGCCCAATAAATTATTATCAATATTTTGGTGGAAACAGTGATACTTTTTTCTCAGGATTATTTGATGAATAGAAAGTTATAAAGAACAGCATTTAATTGAGGTAGAAATTAATTGTAAATGTCTTTACTGTCACTTTAGATTAATGTCCTTACTGAATGAATAAAAGTATTAATTTCTTAAAACAAACAAAAAAAAAATCTTGCTGACCTCAAACTTTTGAGTGTACCTCATAACCTGGATAAGAAGATAATCATATTCATACTCAAGCAAATGTATTAAATGTGAAAGCGACAGTATTTTTGTTACTGTTTTGTGTTACTAAGTGAATTAATGTTTCCATAGTCTCCATTTCCTGGTGATGATGAAGAAGAGGTTTTTGACAGCATTGTGAATGACGAAGTTCGCTACCCAAGATTCCTCTCAACAGAGGCCATCTCCATTATGAGAAGGGTTGGTACCAAGAGCAGCTTTATCATTGTGGATTTACCAGGTGTAGACACTAATATCAATCTTGTTATTAAAATCTTTCTCTTTTGCACACAGTTATTAAGAAGGAATCCCGAGCGACGACTTGGAGCTGGTAAACGTGACGCAGAGGATGTGAAGAAACATCTGTTCTTCAGAGTAAGTTCCAAACCATTTGGCTACATATATCCAGTCATTCCAAGCATTGTATTTTCCCCTCTCTCTCTGAATATAAATATTATTTGTACCTTATTTTTTTTCAGAATATTGACTGGGATGGACTATTAGCAAAGAAAGTGAAGCCACCATTTGTACCCACAATCCAGAGTTCCATTGACGTTAGTAATTTTGACGATGAATTTACCTCAGAGGCACCGGTGCTCACACCCCCCAGAGAACCCCGGCCCTTAACCCAGGACGTGCAGGACCTATTTGCAGACTTTGACTATATTGCAGACTGGTGTTAGTCATGTGTTGGCATCCCTCCCTCTCTCTACACACACACAAGACACAGAAAATGTGAATCAGACCATTTGCAAATATCCTTTTTTTTGTTGTTGTCAGTGTTATTTTAGGATTACCACATCCCCTTTTCCGTTTTAACATGAAGAAGAAACTTTTTTAAATTTTTTTTTTATGATTATTTTATTACCAACATGTTCAGGTTCAGGATGATTATTCCATTTCATCAGGGCTTAAGCACTGATCATGAAAAACATGAACTGAGCAGTATAGTTTTCAACTGTACTGACAACATACCACAGCTTGAACCATGTGATCAGGTGCTTCACTGACACCCCCTAGTGTTGAGGAAGTCAGTAGGCCACATCCACATTCATCTTGCCCACGGAATTTCATCAGTTACACTAAGAATGATGAGCCTTGATTTTAATATTTTTGTATTTGAAGCATTTACAGTGCGACTGGTTAAAAAGTCTGTCAGCTGTCAATGTTGATTATGTGGAAGTGTTTTAAAGCCATAGACCGAAATAATAGGTGATACTTTGTACCTCATCCAATGAATGTATAGTTTGCCACCATTACCAAAACATCTAACCATTTTTATGTAATGGAGTATTTACTCTTCCCTACAGTACAGTAATAATGCATCAAGATCCTAGTTACAACGAAATCAAATATGAACTACCAGTTACAGCTCTAATCATATATGTCAGTGCTTTGAAACAGGAAATGCATTTACTTCCATTGAGTTCTTTTTCTATCAAGTTTCAGGATAGGGTCATGTTTATTTTTACCAGACTTAAGCTGTCAGTGGATTTAAACTACCGTTCAAAAGTTTTGGGTCAGTGGATTTTTTTGTTGTTGTTAAAAATTCAGCTTTGACATCACAGAAATAAATTACATTTTA